ACTCAGGAAGAACCAGCTTGAACACCTTTGCTAAATTATACATTTTATCTACTTCATGAAGTCAATTTCATTCTTTTTATTCCGCCCATGTTGCTACAGAACTTCCTCAATCTTTAATGTATGAGCTTCCATAAATTAATTTTTTCAACATTTTACTTGGAAACGACCCTAATTCCTTGGTTTTGTAAAATCCCATGGGTTGGCGGCTCCAGAACCTACCCTTCCTCTTGCTCGCCACCTGCCCTTCGTGCCTGAGAAGACGCTGCGGGGGCCCCAGTTTGGAAACCTCGGCTAAAGCCACTCGTAAGCTGGTGACTCTCGACCCTTGCGGAGCTTCTCTAAATCTTCATTTCTTATCTGCGGACCGCAGATGATGACCGTAACACCTCATGGAGTCAGCGTGAGGATTCAACAAGACGATGCTTGTCAAGTTCTAGGCATGTTGCGTGTGCTAAAGACATGTGACCCGTTGTTATGATTGTCACCACTTCCCTTCGCACCTCTCTTGTGTTTGAAACATAGCCTGCGCCTCGTAGCTCCTGTCTGCTTGGGAATGTATGTCATGTGTCTTACACTGTCCTAGTCTTGTCATGTGTGTTACACTGTCCCGGTCTCAGTGCTCCCACCCACTCGACTGTTCACTGACACTGTCCTGTTCCAGCTTCCAGTCTGTTTTCCTCCTTTTATTGCCAAGTAACTTGAAGGAATAGTCCATATTATCAGGTCTAGGTTCAGAATTTTAGAAGCCCTCAGCTCTGAAAAGACTGGTACCATCATCCCCAACACCAGCCCCTACTCAAATCAAAACAACATAGTATATTTTGAAATGACCCCGAATCCTGTAATAATTACCTCTCGTTTACAGCTGAGAAAGTTGAGCTTTAAGTGCTGAAATTAAATTAGTTTTTTAAAAATTTTTTATGATTATAAATTTATGAATTAATTCACTGTCCCTGAACTTCTTATTTATTTAGAGGGGCAACCATTGAGCAGGTATTAGTCTCTGCAT